ATGTAGAAGGCCCATGCCCTGCCTCTCTACCCTCCCTCATTCCCAAGCCCCGCAGGGTGTTCCCCAACCACCAGGGAGGGGAGGCCTGCTCCCACTTCCCCCAACTCGGCTGTGGGGACCCTGGGCTGCACGGGAGAGAAAGGCCGTCCTGGCTCCCAGCTGTGGGGCCTCAGGCAAGTTGCTTTACCTCTCTAAGCTTCTGAACAACAGGGCAGAAATCCAGTGCTGCCTGGCTGAGGGGTTACGGCTTGCACCTTAGAAGCAAGAGACCCTTTTTTTTTTTTTTTTTTTTGTCAGTCATGGGGTTTGAACTCTGGGCTGGACGCTGTCCCTGAGCTCTTCAGCTCAAGGCAAGTGCTCTACCACTTGAGCCACAGCACCACTTCCAGTTTTCTGGTGGTTCACTGGAGATAAAGAGTCTCATGGACTTTCCTGCCCAGGCTGGCTTTGAACCTCGGTCTTCAGCTCTCAGCCTTCTGAGTAGCTAGGATGACAGGCGTGAGCCACCAACAACGCCCAGTCGCAGAGACCCTTTATGAGCTTCTACTCTATGCCCCGCGGTCTCGGCAGGCCACACCCACTCAGAGCTGGCCAGGAGGGAAGTCAGTGAATGGCCATACTGAGGTTCTTTTTAGGTCTCCAGGTGAGCACACACAGGTGTTGGCACTGCTGCTCCTAAAGACAGAAGAGCAGAAGGTGGAGGGAAAGGGAGTCAGGCACCTTTCAATGCCTGGTTCTGGAGACCCTCTTGTTTGTTACACCATCTCCATCAGAGCCCCGCTCCTGTCCTAAAGGCCAGCTTTTGTTGATGCCCTGTTTCAAACTCAGTTATGAGAAATCCAGTTAAAACCTGCAGCCAGAGCCGAGTGCTGAGGCTCAGGGTCCAGTGCTGAGGCTCACGCCTATAATCCTAGTTAGTTGAGAGGTGGAGATCAGGAGATTGAGGCTGCCCAGCATCCCAGCTATAGGGGAAGTGCCGTGTCTGGGCTCTGTGCCTGTTACCCCTAGGGATACAGGGAAGCACAAACAGGAAGATCTCAGTCCAGGACAGCCTGGGCAAAACTGAGACCCTATGTCAAAAATAAACAAGGCCATTGTCAGTGATTCATACCTATAGTCCTAGCTACTGAGGGGGCTGAGATCTGAGGATCGAGGTTCAAAGCCAGCCCAGGCAGGAGAGTGTATGAGACTCTTATCTCTAACCACCAGAAAACCAGGAGTGGCGCTGTGGTTGAAAGGTCTAGAGCACTAGCCCTGAAGGGACAGCACCCAGGCCCTGAGTTCAGTTAATTAATTAAGTAGCCAAGTGATTGTAGCTTATGCCTGTAATCCTAGCTACTCAAGAGGCTGAGATCTGAGGATTGCAGATAGCAGTTCAAAGCCACTCAGGCAGAAAAGTCCATGAGACTCTTACTCCATTTAACCAGCAAAAAGCCATAAACGGGAGCATGACTCAAGTGGCAGAATACCAGCCTTAAGGGCAAAAGCTAAGGGACTGAGTTCCAGACCCAGTGCTGGCAAAATAAATAATCAAGGTGGTGCTGCGCTGATGGCTCACACCTATCATCTTAGCTACCCAGGGGCCTGAGATCTGAGAATCAAAGCTCAAAGCCAGCCTAAGCAGATAAATGTGAGAAACTCTTAAGTGGTAGAGCACCAGCTGTGCTGGGAAAAGTTAAGAAAGATTGAGAGATCCCAAGTTCAAGCATGCACACATACTATCATGTACACACACACACACACACACACACACACACACACACACACACACACACACACACACACACACACACACAGAGTCAAAAGGGGGCTGAAGCATAGCTCAAGTGGTTGAGTGCCTGCTAGCATAGCCAACCATGAGGCCCTAATTCAATCCCTATTTCTGCAAAAAAGAAAGAGAGAGAGAGAGGAAGGAAAGAAAGGAAGAAAGAAAAAGAAAGGAAGAAAGAAAGAAAAAAAGAAAGAAAGCAAGAAAGAAAGGAAGGAAGGAAGAAAAAGAAAGAAAGTGAATTATTATATGATCCAGTAATTCCACTTCTGGAAACATATTCCAAAGAATTAAAAGCAGTTATTTGCACACAGTGCTGACAGCCATACATGCTGACAGCAATGTTGTTTATAATTGGTAACAACTCAAGTACCTACCACTAAGTAGGTAAATGAACACAGGTACGTTACATCAACGCAATGGAACATTACACAACCTTCAAAAGGAAAGAAATGTGGACGCATGCTCCATCGACAAACCTTAGACATTATGCTACATAAAATATGCCAGACCCAAAAAACCAGAGTATAATTTCACATCTATGAATGACCACGATTAGTCAGTTCACAGACAGGAAGTAGAAGGGGGAATGCTGGGTGGGGAGACAGGAGACAGGTTTGGGAGGACGTGATCCTCTTTTCAGGAGATGGGTGATGGCGGTAATGCTTATGTAACAATGTGAACACGTTCAATGCCACTGATTTGATTTGTACTCTTAGCAGGGGAAGGAAGGAAGGAAGGAAGGAAGGAAGGAAGGAAGGAAGGAAGGAAGGAAGGAAGGAAGGAAGGAGGAGCGAGGGAGGGAGCGAGGGAGGGAGCGAGGGAGGGAGCGAGGAGGAAGGGGGGAAATCTCTTTAGGAACTACCATGACCTCCTGAAGTGCATCCTGGGCTTTTCCCAAGCAGGTTCCAACCCTGTGCCATGCACAAGGGCTTCCCTGGCTGGGGGCCTCACCCCTGCCTGGCTCCAGGGGCTGTGTTTATTTGCACAGTGTGTCCACGTTCCGGTTTCCGCCCTGCCCACAGGAGGGAATGCTTTAAAGAAACTCTGGATTATTAATGTGGTTTCTTTTGTTGTAAGTCACTGAAAAAGGCAGCGGACAAGGGTTTATTTTCCTATCGCGGTTGGCGTATTTCAGCGCCCAGGCACAGCTCTTGGCGTTTGATTTGGGAGGAACCCGAGACCCTCAGTTTGTTTTGAGTCACCGGTGAAGCCACAGCGGCCAGGGCCAGAGGAGGGGGCGGGAGCGGATACTGGGAAGCCTTTGGCAGGAGGGTGGGACTGGATGGAGGAGCAAGATGGTAAAACAAAAGCCACGGAGTGACCCTGGTTTTCTGAACTAGCTACACTGGCAGACTGGAAAAGCATCCCTTTGCTACTTCATTTGTTTCTCCAGCAACTTTTCTTTTTCTACCAGAAGGCCGCTCATCTCTCTGCCAGTCTCTCTTGTTGTACCTCGGAAAGGCCCAGAAGTCACCGGAAAACCCACTTCCAAGTGTGTGTGGGACCTCACTGTCAGAAACCCAAGATGGGGAGATAGCACCCTTGTGACCCGAGTTCTGGTACCGCAGGATCTGGCTACATGTGTGTACAGGCACACGTGTGTGTGAGTGTGTGTGGTATTGGCAATGGAACCCAGGCCAGGGTCACCAGCCTGAGCCCCCTCTTGTCTCTTTTTCTTTCTGTCCCTCCCCCTGCAGCATCTTCCTCTCTCCCCACCTCGATCTCACTCATCAGAGGTAAACCAGGGCCTCCCTTACCCAGGCGGGAGGGACCTGGTCCTCAGCCCCTGGCTGCGCTGAACCTTTCCATTGGGGCCTTCAACCCACACCTCCCAGGGTACATGAGCCAGGCGATTATCACCAGAGGTGGACAGGGCAGCCTGGCACCTGTGCCTCGGGGAAGGTGGGTACGGGGTAAGGGAGTGTGCCTTCCCTGAGCATGGCAGATGCAGGCTGGTGCAGTGAGGGCAGGTGTCCCCGGCACTCACAGGATCCAGTCTTAGGGGTCTAGATTTGTGATTATAGTTTTTGTCCATACTGGGGCTTGAACTCAGGGCCTTGTACTCTTGCTTAGATTTGCCACACAACCCTAGAGCTCTATCACTTGAGTCATAGCTCCACTTCTGGCTGTGTGTGTGTGTGTGTGTGTGTGTGTGTGTGTGTGTGTGTGTGGTTAGAAATAAGAGTTTCACAAGCTTTCCTGCCCCAGCTGGCTTCAAACCTTGATCCTCGGATCTCAGCCTCCTGAGTAGTTAGGATTACTGTCGTGGGCCACCAGCGCCTGACTAAAACCAGTCAGGTGACTGAGCTGCCATCACCTCCATCTGTCCTGAGAAGCTGAGACTCCCAGCCAGCCTGGGACCCTGAGGTGCAGAAAGTGGGTTCCCTGGGGATAGGGAACTGCCCACCCTTCCTTTCTCACCACAGATGTTTTGGGGAGCATAAAATAATCGGGTGGCACTTCTTCCTAGTCCCCACTGCAGGGGACAGGGTGGTGGCTTCAGACCACACCAGCTCCCAGGACTTGGGTGAGCAGCGGCCCTGGTCCTCCCGGCTGCTGCGTCTTCTCCCCACCCCCCACGCCTTCCTACCCAGGCCTCAGGACTCTGTGATCCTGTGAGGTTTTTTTTTTTAAACAGCCACTTGGGTGGATTGTTTGTTTTAAAAGCCCCTTCCTGATGACCTTTAACCTCTGCAGGGACGAGAGGCCTGGGGGAGGCACCTAGGAGGGCTCCCTGGGCAGACGAGGGGTGCCCCCCCCAGCAGCCTCCCTCCAAGAGCCCAGCCCGGTAGTGGCTGCGGGGGGGGGGGGGGGTGCATGGGGAGGGAGGAGGACCGAGTTTGAAGTCGACTGTGTGGTTCAGTCCCTTTGTCCCTCCGAAAGCCTCAGTTTCCCCGGCTGTAACATGCCAACACTTGCATTAGACCTTCTTCCAAGCTATGCGGGAATGGAGAGGCCGGGGCTGCCCTGGGCCCAAGGGTGGCCGCTTCCCCCGCGGTCACAGGGGTGGGCCTGCCCAGGAGCCGGGCCGAGAGCTCCGACGGCGCGGTCCGCCCATCACCGCGCAGCCGGGAAGCCTGCCGGCGTCCGGTGCCCTGGGGCGGCGCCCGGTAGGTGCCCCGCCCGGGGCCGCGTGGTCCCCGCGCCGCCCCCGGCCCCGCCGGCCCCGCCGCGCTCCCCGCGCCGGCTCCGGGCTCCGGTCCCGCGCGCCCCGGCCCGCCGCACTCACCGTCCTGCGGCGCCGCCTCGCTGCCGCTGCTGCCCCCGGACGGCTCCCGCGCGGCGCCCGCCCTCGCGCGGGCCCGGGCCGCGGGCTGCGCCGCCAGCCGCCCCGCCGCCTCCTCCAGGTCCAGGAGGTGGCTCACCGAGAAGTTGGTGCGCGCCTGGGCGCAGTCGCCGGGCCCCGGCGCGGGCGCGGGCGGCCCCGGCCCCGGCCCCGGCTGGTCGGGCGCGAAGGCGGCGGCCGCGCCGTCCATGCCGCCCCGCGCGTCCCGGCCGCCCGGCCCCGCCGGCCCCGCGCTGACGCCCGTCGGGGGTCAAGCTCGTCCTCCTCCCGCGGCGCGGGCGGGACGCACGGACGCACGGACGGACCGCCAGCTCCGCGCTGCGGCTCGGCCTCGCGCCGGCCTCCGGTCCCCACCGCCCCGCCCGGCCGCGGGGAGGGGGCCGCGTCCCCGGCGGGGCGGGGCGGAGCCCGGGGCGCGGGGGTCCTCCCCCTCGCAATTTAGTGGGTGGGCAGCTCCCGCAAGGAGGGTCCTGGGCCGCCGTAGGGGCTGCAGGTGGGGGCGACCCGGAGAGGGCGCCCCGGGACCGACCCGGCCGGAGCCCCAGCACCACCTCCGTCCTGATGGACAGTCCAGGGCTGCCCGGACCACCGGGGGCCGCACCCGGCCTCGGGCTCCCCCCTGCAGACCGAAAAAGCCCACCTACCCGAAAAAGGGCAAAGGCTGTCTCTTGGGGCCAGACGCACGCCCGTCATCCTGGCTACCCCGGAGGCTGAGATCTGAGGATCACAGTTCAAAGCCAACCTGAGTAAGAAAGTCCATGAAACTCCTATCTCTGATTATCCAGCAAAAAGCTGGAAGCGGAGCTGTGGCTCAAGTGGTAGAGTACTAGCCTTGAGCAAAAGAAAAAAACAAACAAACAAACTCTGGGACAGCACCCAGGCCCTGAGTTCAAGCCCCAGAACCGATCACACACACACCATCTCTTCTGTCCCGCGCCTCCTTCCCCCCCCCACACACACACTGGATGATACCTCTGTGCCCCTCAGACCTCCTAATGGAAAAACAAGCTGGGAGCCGGGTGTTGCCGTGAAGAATTCCTAGTATACACAGGAAGGGACAACCAGACTGACAGGTAACGGGGAGAGAAGGACAGACATTGTTTTTGTTTTCCAAGGAAAGGGGAGAAAAGACACACAGGGTGAGCTGAGCTGAGACTCAGCCCTCAGCTGCCCCGGGTCTCAGCCGGCTGCTGGCCAATCTTTGACCCATGCTGTTACCACACAGGGTATACTCATAGCACCAAAACTGGGAACTAGGGGCTCATGCCACTAGTCATCTTAGCTACACAGGAGACTGAGATCTTACCTACACAGGAGACTGAAATCAGAAGATCATGGTTCAAAGCCAGTCTGGGCAGGAAAGGCCAGGAGACTCAAAATATGTCTCTACTGAACCAGAAAAAAAAAACAGAAGTGGAGCTGTGGCTCAGTGGTAGAGCATTAGCCTTGAGCAAAAGAAACCCAGAGACAGGGCTGGGAAGGTGGCTCAGTGGTAGAGTGTTTGCCTTGCATGCATGAGGCCCTGGGTTCGATTCCTCAGCACCACATAAGCAGAAAAAGCCAGAAGTGGCGGTGTGGCTCAAGTGGTAGAGCACTAACCTTGAGCTGAAGAGCTGAGGGACAGCGCCTAGCCCAGAGTTCAGGCCCCACTACCAAAAACAAAAACAAAAAAGATCCTTTACTGTCAGCCACACGAGGACCATTAGCCCATTCCACAGATGGGGAGACAGCCTAAGAACAGGTGGGCCCAGCCTGTGGCCCCCAGGAGCCTGGTGAGAGGAGTTAGCTGAGCAGGCAGAACTCACGAAGGCTCCTAGATGGAATCCTACTCATGGCTGCGTGCTGTAAACGGTGACGGGCAACAGTGTTCTGGAAACATTGTGTCAGGCTGCCAGTGTTGTGATCCTCCCAGGCCTGGATCTACAATGTGGGACACAGAGCACAGCTCTCCAAACCTGTCCAAGCCTCAGTTTCCCTCTCGGCCCAGATCCTCAGCTATACAATGACTGGCTCAGTGCTGGGCCAACATTATAGTCAGCCTTCTAGATACACAGGACTCCACCAAAAAGTCATGCCTCCTGCCAGTGGCTCACACCTATAATCCTAGCTACTCAGGAGGCTGAGATCTGAGGATTAAGCCCCCTATGAGCCACCAAAAAGCCAAAAGTGGAGCTGTGATCAAGAGGTAGAGCACTAGCCTTGAGCAGAAAAGCTAATTGAGGGTGCAAGGCCTTGAGTCCAGTACCACCCCCCCCCCCCCCCCCACACACACACACACGTTGCAAATGAGTCTCCCAGCTTAATTGGGAGACAGGATGGTTTTTATTATTTATAACTTACCTCACCAGGGTGGGGTGGGAAGTGTTCCCAGCCTGCCCCAACCAGGTAGGTGCTAAATTATGAAACCCCAGGTCTGATCGACAGTCAAACTCCCTGGGGGAAACCCACTTCCTTAGTCTGCTGATGGCTGATCTTTTGGAGCTGAAATATGACCATTTTTACGATCAAAGAGATCAGAGTTCCAAAGCAGGGTGCAAGAATGGAAGAAGGCGGGGAGAGGGCCTTCCACTTTGCCTCTCCCTCAGACTTAACTGGTTTCCTAAAGTTTTTTTAGACCTGCAAAGATTTACACGCCTTTCTGCTGGGAGCTTTAAATTAGCCCTGATCCGTCCTGCCCTGCCCCGGCACTAAGTCATTGAGAAATGAACCGGCCTCGCTTAATGGCTCCGGCGGCCTCTGAAAGAGGGGAGTTCCTAATGACTTTTTTTTTTTTTGAAGTAGAGGTCAAGGTTTTTTAAATAAAACAATCTGTATTAATGCGATTTCCTTTTAAGCTGTAGCACTAGGTTTTTTTCTGAAATAAGACACAGCGTGGGGAGGGGCATGCTTGTCCTCCCGCCAGACAACGCACCTCTAATGAGATACATTTATTTAAAAGTCTGTATATCATCACCTTGTCAGGGCCTCCCCGCCCGGGCCCTGGCGCTCTGTCTTCATTTGTGTTGAGTTAGCGCGGCTGCAGGTCTGACCCTTTGGTTGGGTAGCTGGCTCTCCCCAGGGCCCTGGGGACCTCAGGGCAGCCTTTGATGACTGCTTTTGTCCCCCATACAGCCTCCGACCTGTATAATCACTCACATTTTTTTTTATGCCAGTACTGGGGCTTGAACTCAGGGCCTGGGCTCTGTCCCTCAGCTTTTTCCCTCAAGGCTGGCACTCTACCACTTGAGCCACAGCTCCATCTCCTGATCACCCACAATTTTTTTTTTTTGTCAGTCATGGGGCTTGAACTCTGGGCCTGGGCGCTGTCCCTCAGCTCTTCAGCTCAAGGTGAGCGCTCTACCACTTAAGCCACAGCACCACTTCCAGTTTTCTAGTGGTTTATTGGCAATAAAAGTCTCACAGAGTTTCCTACCCGGGCTAGCTTTGAACCACGATCCTCAGATCTTAGCCTCCTGAGTAGCTAGGATTACAGGCGTGAGCCACCAGCACCTGGCCATCACCCACATTTTACTATGTCTTGTCCCATTGAAGCCTTCTACCATGTCCTCCCGCCCTGCCTGCCTCTGCCACTTAGCCGTGGAGGACCCCCCTTCTCAGCCCATGAGGAAGGATGGCTCAGAGGTTCTATCTGTAATTCTGCCACCCACAGATCTGGGTTCAAGTCTGTGAGATGTGGATAAGAAGGGTGGGGTGGGTGGGTGCCTGTCTCTGCCTGTCTGGCCTCTGACCTATGGTGCACAGCCACTGAACCAGGATCTGGTCCAAATCTGTCAGGCAGGGCCCAGCCTGCTTCTCTCTCTTCATCCAGGGCATAGATTCCCCTGCAAAAGCCCGTGCAAGGGCTGGGAAGGTGGCTCAGTGGTAAAATGCTTGCCTCGCATGCATGAGGCCCTGGGTTCGATTCTTCTGCACCACATAAACAGAGAAAGTCAGAAGTGGCACTGTGGCTCAAGTGGTAGAGCTCTAGCTGAGGGATGGCGCCCAGGCCCAGAGTTCAAGTCCCATGATCAACAATAACAACAAAGAAGCCCGTGCAGGGCTCCGACTGGGCACGAGGGACTGAGCTGAAGCAGACAGTTGTGGTCATAGAGCTGATTTTGAGAAAGAAGTAGGAGCAAGAAGACCAGGGCCCTGGAAGCCAGGTATCAGGGAGGACTTCCCAGGTATGTAGGAGAAGTGGCCTCAACTCCTCTGCCTTGAAGAACACACAGAATAGTAGGCAGAAGGTGGCCAGGCTTCCGTGCAGCCGGGCAGGAGGCCCACCCGATGGGAAGGAGCCATGGGGCAGCCCCTGGCCTCCTCGGCTGGTGACAGCTTTCGGGTGTTTTTTTGCTTCTGTTTTCATTTGTGCTTTTGTTGTTGTTGTTGCTTTTCTAGTTTTTGCTTTTGCTTTTGTCTGGCTTCTGTTTTTTTTCTCTCTGCTTTTGTCTTTGCCACTCTCCCCTCCATACCAGAGAGCGCAAAGGATTTTTTTTTTAACTACTTTGGATCCACCAAGATGACGGGACATCATTTCATGAATACATACCTAGTTCATTCCTCTACTGCCCTGGGCTGGGTCAGGGTCCGTCCAGTCAGGGGCCTGGGGACTGAACAGGCCTCAACTTCAGCCACCCTGTTAGAGCAGGGACAGAGTGGGCCACAGCCCAGGTCACAGGGGAGGAACTGGGCTTTTGGAGGCCTGTTGGCTTGAGGGGAGGGAAACCGTTTCCTTCCCCTGCACCCTGGCTGGCGGGGACTTGGCCCAGGTTTGGGCCATGAGTCTGGGACCTGGGAAGAAAACAGCAAGTGTGAAGCCAGGGCCAGAGTCATGGTGGGAAAGTAGCTGAGAGGAGGTCCAGGCTGAAGACCTCTCTGCTCCTTTCCAGGCCCAGAAAAGGCCTCCCACAAAGGAACCCCATCCTAGGGGCCAAGAGAGACTTACTGTCTCTTCCCATCCACTCCTGCCCAGTGCAAGGCCCGCATTATCCTCTACCTACAGCCCGGGTGCGGGGAGCTTGCCTGGGCCCTGCCAACACCCTCTGGGAGCTGACTACCCGTCACCCACCCTGCAGCCTCCTCAGATCCAAGCACAAGTGTGGAACACACGGATGCCAAGTGACGCCACCTTAACCAGAGGGACCCACACCGCACACTGAGACAGCACGTAGACGGCCCCGACCAAATCCCCCTCCGCCATCTGTGCATCCCCGGTCCTGGTGACCTCCCCTCACACCTAGGAACAAGTGACTCGATACCCACGGGCAATGGAAGGTCTCACCTGCCAAGGAAGTGGGGGCAAGACGCCTGGTAAGTGCAAAAGGTTTCTTGCCTTGGATATGGAGCTGTGGCTCACGTGGTAGAGCGCTCGCCTTGAGCTGAAGAGCTCTGGGACAACGCCTAGACTCAGAGTTCAAGCCCTATGACCAACCAAAAAAAAAAAAAAACTGCTGTCTGGGTATGTTGGTTTCTAGAACTTTCTGGGACTTACTCTTTCCATCTGTAAAATGGTCCTGGGCTTCCCAGCCACACAACCAGCCCCCACAGCCCGCCTGGCCCTGTAGCCCTCTATTTTCTTACGGGCCTCCGTGTCCCGGCCTCTGTCTCCTTCACTGTGGGGATTGGGGGCCTGCCTGACTTGGTTGGCTCTCGCCCATCTAGTCTGCCAAGAATCCTGTACCCTGGGGAACCAGGTCTCCATGGCTCTACCATATTCCCTGCTGTAGTCTCCAGCTAGAAAGGGGGGGGGGGGGGAGCTAGCAAAGCCTGCATATTGGATCCAGATGTGGTCTCTCTCCCAGCCACTCCAGCAATTTAATTAAGTTCCCCCCCCCCCAGCAGGAGGGACTTTTAACGATCAGATTCCCCTCCTGGGCAGCGGCTCTCTGGCCCGTTCCGTCTCCCTGATGGATGGATGGCCAGCCACGGGATTTTCCTGTCCTGCCCGCAGCCTCATCAGGCAGGGCCAGAAGGCTTGGAGGAGTCTCCCCTGGAGCACAAAGGCCCTGGGCCCCCTGCCTGCCCTCCCCTTCCCTAAAGAGGCTGAGCCCTCCACTGGCTTTTGGCAGAGTGACTAACTGGGCTAGGCTGCAGGCCCCTCCCCTGAGCTCTGGCCCTGGAGCTGGCCTGCCAGGGCCTGAGGCCAAGTAGGTACTGGCAGGGTCTCTATCTTGGGGTCCAGGACTTCGGCCTAATCAATTACCAGAGATGGGGCAGGTATAGGCCCCCGTGGGCCTCCTGGGCATGAGGATCCTCACCTGCTAAGCTCTCAGCAGGAGCTGGCTTCTGTGGGATCTTCGGTGCCTCAGTCCATCTCCTTGAGCAGATGGGTCGTGGCTGAGTGAGGCCCAGGGCCAAGCCTGGTCCTAGACTCCCTCCTGGGGTTCTTCACACCTCCCCATCCTCCTAGGTGTCTGTGGCCTAGCGCCTCCCCTTTCTAGGGAGCACCTGGCCAGGTGGGGATTGTGATGGGAGGTGACACACAGCTAGGACCATGGTGTCCTCTGAGGCTCCAGCTGCCCACTGGGGGCTCAGCCCGGAGCTGCTCCCTGAGCCCCCTGCCAAGCCCAGCTGCAGGAGCCACAGCAGAGGGGACAGCTGTGAGGACTGGGCGGTGGGGGGGGGGGTCCAGGACAGCCACTGGGCTCACAGAGCTTCTTGGGCCCCTTCCCAGGCCAAGCCAATGGCCTGCCACTCAGCTACTGTCCCAGCCTCTGGTGCCTCAATTTCCCCTGTGAGCCTACAGAGGGAGCTCATGACTCAGGGCTCTCTCTTTCCACACAGGACTCTGAACAAGCTGGAACTTGTGGTCAGTGACTCAGTCCGGACGGTTTAGAGATGGGGGGGGGGGGTCAGAGGGACGGGAGGAAGGCAAGGGAAGGGGGACTGGTTCTGGAGAGGTGCCAGCAGGAGAGGGCAGGGGGTGGCGGCTCTCTGCTGCTCGCCTCGCAGCCCAGACTGGTCACAGTGGGGAGAGAAGCTGCCCAGCGGCAGCCATGGCAGACAGCGCACTGCACTGTGCGGAGCGGCCACCAACTGGAAGTGGGGGGAGGGAAAGGAGAGGGAGGGAGAGAAAGGAAGGAAGGAGGGAGAGAGGGAAGGAAGAAAGGAGTGGGAGAAATAAAAAGTGACTTCTCAGTCAGGCACTGGTAGCTCACACCTGTAATCCTAGGTACTCAGAAGGCTGAGATCTGAGAATCCTGACTTGAAATGAGCCCAGGCAGGAAAGTCTATGGGACACTTCTCTCCAATTAATCAGCAAAAAGCCAGAAGTAGAGCTATGGCTCAAGTGGTAGAGTTCCAGCCTTGAGTAAAAAGGCTAAGGGACAGAACCCAGGCACTGAGTTCAAGCCTCAGCCTCGCCCCCTCCTGACACACCCACACATCCCCAAGGCCTCGCCACAAATTCCCCCTTAAAATAAAACCTCCTAAGTGACACACCTGAGCCCACTCACCCGGGAGAGGGGGAGGAGGGCCTGGATACCACCTGCCCGTGAAGCTGCACACCTGGGCCCAGGTGAGAGAGAGGAGATTGTGGTTGTGTGTGAGAAGCTGGGAGAGTGTGGAGGCCCTCTGTGTGTGTGGGAGAGCGAGCCTGGGGTAGCATAAGGACAAGTATCTTGAGTGTGACATGTGTGGGACATAGCACATGTATTGGGAAAGTGTGAGGGTCTGTGTGTGAGCCAGCAGTGTGTGTGCGTGTGTATAAGTGTGTGTGTGTGTGTGTGTCAGAGGACCCCATGATAAAAGCCCACTGGGAAGTGGCCTCCAGGAGAGATCGGAGCTGGGGCACCTGGTCCACCCTCCCTGGGGAAATTCTCCCTCCTCCTGCTCGCTTGCTCTCCCTCCCTCTGAGCCTCAGTCTCCTGGGCTGTGACGTGGGTCCTGCTGGTCCTTATTTCGCAGTGTCATGTAGGATTGGCCATGCTTGGGGACGTGGGTATGGCCACTGTGGCGGCTGAGGCTCTGCACGGCTGCCCGTGGAAACCTGAGCACCCCTGCTACTAGGGAGAGAGGCTGGAACAGTGGGGCTCAGGAGGCCTCACCAGAAGTAACCCGAGTCCCTCGCCTGAGTCTGGAGACAGAGGACACCTGCGGGGACACACCTGGACCCACCTTTGGTATGTGTGCGCGTGGGGAGCATCACAACTGGTCTGTCTCAGCATGGCGTCCTCAAAACTGACCCCCACCATGAGTGCCTGCTGTACCCCCAAAACACAAAACCTGGGCTGGTACAATGGGTACTGTAATTTGTATATTTTTCTTTGTCTCATGAATATGAAGTCCTATCTGTTCGTTTTTATGGAGGCTGCCCATCTCTCCTTATGTTTTGGGTTGTTTGGGATTTTTTTTTTAGTTTGTCACGTTTTGTGACCCTCCTGTGCAATCCTTTGTTCCTGTTTTCAATGGTGTTTTTGCCTGCTTCTTGTTGATGTTGATAGTTGTATATATAGTGAGGTCTCCCTGCTCTGAGTACTGAGTAGCCAGACTGACTCCCTTTCTTCCTGGGGAGAAGGTGCTCTGGGTGTTTGACCCCTACTCAGCTGTGGAACTCTGGGGCTGACCGGCAGGATGGCGGCTCACTGGCCAGACAGTTGAGGGCAGAGGCAAAGGAAAGAGAGAAGGATCAGAGCTCAATCAGAGGCTCTGAGGGACAGAGCCTTAATGGGAGGCAGATGGAGGAAATCAGGCTCCTGTTGCTGACAGGAGGGAGGTCAAGGGGCTCAGCGCTTTCTAAAGCTAGGAGCCTGGGTGAGGGGCAGCCAGCAGTTCTGGCTCCATGGCATGGTGCCCAAAAGGGCAGTGAGGGGTCAGAGGTCAGCTCCTCCCTTCTGAGCGTCCAGGTCTTCTCCAGCCCAGAGCCAGAGGAGAAGAAAAGAAAGGACTCTGTAAATGCAAGCCTGGTCTGGACCACAGTCCTCCTATTTGCATTTTCCCATATAGCTGGAGATGACAGATTTGTATGGGCTGAGAGAGATTTTGAGAACTTTTTTTACCCTAGGCAAACTCTGGATGACTTAAGTCATCTAGAGTTAACGATTATGGAAAGATACGGGTAGTCCCTCGGCCAGCATGATGCCATTCTGTATAAGGGGCTTGGGCAGGGGGCGATGATGTGGTTTTCTGGAAGTGTGGGAGGGGTCCTGGAACCCAACCCCGACAGAACCGAGAACTGGCCGTGGTGGAGCAGCTTTTCCTGCCCTGCACCCACCTTCTAGGTAATGCCGGGGGAGCCTGGGCGGCCGCACCCTCCGCTGGGTACTGCGGTGGCGGGATGCTGCCCGGATCGCAACTTGGGCCCGCCTCGGTCCGCCTGTGGCGCGCTGATGGCCGTGCGCGCGCGCGTGCGCGTCTCAGGCCTGGGCTCACGGCTCACGGCGGGCGCTCTACCACTTGACCCACTCCTCCACCTCCGGCTTCTTTTGGGCCTGGAGTTTAACTGGAGGTAAGACTCTCGCGGACTTCCTTGCTCGGGCTGGCTTCGAACCGCGGTCGTCCTGAGCGGCTGGGATTGCAGGCGTGCCCCGGCGCCCGGCCGGCAGCGCTGGTCCGGGGTGGGGGCGATCGCCCCATTTTACAGACCCGGAGGCGAAGGCGGGGCCCGGGCGGCGTGCCGGGGGTGAGGGGCGGCCGTCATCAGCCGCGGCCTGCAGGGCGGGCCGAGGCCGGAGCCGGGCATCCGGAGGAGCGTGGGCCGGGCCTGGGCCGCCTCCTCCGGGGAGCCGGGCCCTGGCGGAGCCGCCCAGGCTGGTCTTGGTCCTCCGGGCCGCGCGGGGGCGCCGTGGCGCACGCGCTCGAGCCCGGTCGGCGCGGACCGGAAGTGAGATGCAGGCCACTTCCGGTACGGAAGGCGGCCTGGGCGGTGCGGCGGCTGGGTCTCCGGGACTGGGTCCGCGGCGCGTAGGGGACCCCGCGGGGCCGCGAGCGGCCAGCGTGTGGTCACGATGCCTTTCCTGCACGGCTTCCGGAGGATCATCTTCGAGTACCAGCCGCTGGTGGATGCCATCCTGGGCGCCCTGGGCATCCTGGACCCCGAGCGGCAGGAGCCCCCGGACGGGTGCGTCGCGGGCCCCGCCCGCGGGCCCGGCCCCTCCGCCCCTCGAGGCCCGCGGGCCCGGCCCCTCCGCCCCTCGAGGCCCGCGGGCCCGGCCCCTCCGCCCCTCGAGGCCCGCGGGCCCGGCCCCTCCGCCCCTCGAGGCCCGCGGGCGCCGGCGGTGCAGTGTCGGCTCCGCCTGCAGCTGCGGAGCCCGCGGGCCCCGGTTCTGGTCGCAGAGCTCTGCGGGGCTGAGCTTTCTGTGGCGGCCTGGGCACAGGCTGGTCGGTGCTGGGGAGCGCGGGTTCCCGGTGGAGAGGAGAGCCGGGGGTCATCAGATGGCAGGCTCTCCCCGCTCCCTCTGAGGCCCCCCTGAAAGGCGTCGGCGGCTTGTGCTGAACCCCGGAGGCTGCCCCGGCTGCCCCGCTTATCGGCCTGCCCGGCGGCCTGCAGAGATGCTTCCTAGCAGTGCGTTTTGTGTCTTTATGCCGGGACACCTCTAGGGCGGACTCGGGTCAGCGGAGAGACGAAGCCGGGGGTGGGTGCGACTGCGGGACGGGGCACATTGGCAGCGAGTTTCACCGAGCAGGATGCAAGCTCTGGGAGCTGTCCAGGGCCTCATCTTTTAGGGAGAAAAGCAGCAGTTCCTAGCAGGTGGTGCTGGCCAGGAAGGGCCCAGAGGCTTGGGGCTGCTTGAAAGGTGAGGGAAGGGAGGCGGCTTCTGGGCAAGCCTGGATTCCTCAAAGGAGTGAGGATGGGTATGTGGTATGCTGTGTGTCTTCGTACCGGGGCTTGGACTCGGGGCGACACCACCTCTTAGCTTTTTCACTCAGGGCTGGTGCTCTGTCATTTGAACCACAGCTCCACTTCTGGCATTCTGGTGGTTAATTGGAGGTAATAGTCTCACAGACTTCTATCCAGCCTGGCTTTGAATTGAGGTCTTCAGATCTCAGCCTCTTGGGTAGCTGGGATTACAGGCAAGTAGCACCAGCTTCTGGCAAGGTCATCTCTCGAGAAAGGAGCACCAGGCTCAGGTTCTGGCTTCTGGCCTCCAAGGCTCTGAAGTCCTGTCCCAGATCGGAGACTTTGTATCATTGCAGTGAGCAGGCTTGCTGGGCAGTGTGGTCTCTGTCTCAGAGCCTGCCGGAGGAGTGGCCTCCTTTCCAATTAGACATCCCAGGAAAAAGTGTCCCACGGAGCCCAGGCCTTGTGTCTGTGGGTGGGTTCAGCAGGTGCTAGGCCCCACCCACTCCTGTGCAGCCGGACTGCTTCCCTGTCCTAGGCCCAGTTATGCTGCCAGTGAGGAGAGCCGAATCCTGGTCCTCACCGAGCTTCTGGAGAAGAAGGCCCACTCCCCCTTCTACCAGGAAGGCGTGAGCAATGCCCTGCTGAAGATGGCGGAGCTGGGGCTGATGCGGGCAGCAGACGTGCTCCTGAGGAATGGAGCCAACCTCAACTTCGAAGGTCAGTGGGAGGAGCCCAGGGCTGGCCTCTGCTTCTACTGTCCTCTTCGAGGCTGGGTGCTAACTAGAGAAGGAATCCTCCCCTGGGTGGCCTCCCACTGCCAAGGCCTGCATGGCTGTTCGCTTGGTGCCCGCGTGACACTGCCGCTTCTCTGTCGAGTTAACAGTTGCCGGGGTACCGGGCCAGTCCCATTCACATCAGCAGCAAAGGTGATTTTCTCCCACTTGGAGCCACCTGGTGGGTTTGTTGTGTCACCGAGGGGGATGGGTGGACCACCTAGGCAGCAGGCCTGTCAGCTTCTGGCTGTCCTCTCTGGCTTTCACCAGGGAGAGGCGAGGGAGGCGAGACAGACAGCACTGCTTGCAAGAAAATGGGGGTCCGGACTGACCCCATGTACAGCTGGTGTGTCTTGCCAGCCCCTCAGGACAGGCTCGGAGGCTCCGGGCTTCTCAGGGGTCCAGCAGCTGAAGAGGGCACATCCTGAAGCCCATCCCTTGACCGCCTGGCCGGGTCTCCAGTACCTGGCTGTTACCCCAGAGCCAGGAGGGTAGCCTTGCAATCCAGACCAGCCTGGCTACAAAACAGGACTAAGCCAGAGCCCAGCAGCATGGCCAGCCCTGCCCAGCCTCTCTGCGTGCCCTCTGCAGTCCTGGAGCGGGATGGGCTATTTTATTGCCCCCACGAAACAGAAGTGGCAACCAAGGCCCACATGCGTTAAGTGGGGAGGGGGTCCTAAAGCGAGCCGCCTGTCCCCTCAGACCCTGTGACCTACTACACTGCCCTGCACATCGCCGTCCTGAGGAACCAGCCCGACATGGTGGAGCTGCTGGTCCGCCACGGGGCCGACATCAACCGGAGGGACCGGGTAAGAGCCAGCAGCCTGCTTGGGGCATGCTAGGGTCCTGAGCAGCCCTGCCAGTTCCACACCACACCAACCTGGCTGGTGCTGTCCCGCCTCAGATTCACGAGAGCAGCCCCTTGGACCTGGCCAGCGAGGAGCCTGAGCGCCTGCCCTGCCTGCGGCGCCTCCTGGAGCTGGGCGCAGATGTCAACGCGGCTGACAAGCATGGTGGGTGCTCTGGGAAGGCGGAGGGGCCGGGGCCAAGCTGGGCATCACTTAAGCAAACTCCTGGGAGGTCAGCTTGATGCCAGCACCCCCGCCCCTCCCCACCAAGGGCCCAGATAAGAGTCTAGAGGCTTTGGGGGACAGTGCACTCATTGTCCTGCGCTTCCCTCTAAGGCTGCCCGCAGGGGTGGCTAAGTGCACCCAGCCTCCATGGGTTCCTGTTGAGACCTAGCCTAGGTCTTGGGCATCTTGGGGTGCAGGGAAGTGGTGCCATGCTGGACTGCCCACTTCTGTGGGAGTGGAGATGCACCCTCAGCCCTAGGAAGTCCATTTCAGGGGTCCAGTCCCACCTCCACTTGGTGGTCGCTGGCCTCCCACCCCTTTCCCTCCCTTCCTCCCTCCCTCCCAGGGAAGACGGCTCTGCTTCACGCTCTGGCCAGCAGTGACGGCGTGCAGGTCCACAACACAGACAACATCCGGCTCCTGCTGGAAGGAGGTGAGGCTCGGCGCCTCGTCCTTTCGGCAGGGAGGGGAGCCTGGGGGCCCCCCCTCCAGCTTTGCCTGGCCGGGGCTGAAGGCCGCCCCCACCTTGTGCTAATGGTTCCTCCCAGGGGCAGACGTCAAGGCCACCACCAAAGACGGGGACACGGTGTTCACCTGTATCATCTTCCTGCTGGGCGAGACCGTGGGCGGGGACAAGGACGAGGTCGGCCTCATCAACCGCTTCTGCCTGCAAGTCACGCAGCTGCTGCTGGCCCACGGGGCTGACCCCAGCGAGTGTCCAGCCCACGAGTCCCTCACGTACATCTGCCTCAAGGGCTTCCGGCTGCACCTCCCGCTGCTGCGCTTCCTGCTGGAGTCGGGAGCTGCCTACAACTGCTCGCTGCACGGCGCAGGCTGCTGGTCCGGCTTCCACCTGGTCTTCGAGCGGCTCTGTGCCCCCCTGGGCTGCGCGGAGGAGGAGAGCTGTGGGGAGCTCCTGCGCAAAGCGGAGACTGTGCTGGACCTCATGGTGACAAACTCCCCAAAGCTGCAGCTGCCGGCCAGCTTTGACATCCACCCGGTGGGCAGCCTGGCAGGGCAGGTGCAGGCCCTGCATGCCTCCCTGCGGCAGCTGGAGCGCCACCCGCCACCCCTCAAGCACCTGTGCCGGGTGTCCATCCGGCTGCACCTGCAGCCCTGGCCTGTGGACACCAAGGTCAAAGCGCTGCCCTTGCCCGAGCGGCTCAAGTGGTATCTTCTGAGCGCACACAGTGGCGCGGGAGAGGACGACAGCTGACCAGCCTTGGGGTGGCCTGTGCAGCTACAGCGCTGCCAGCAGACTTACGCCGTGCCGGCCTCTTGGGGGCCTGGGTCGGGCCACATGGCTGCGTCTTCCAGGGCCACTGCTGCCCCTCCCCTACAGCAGCACCCCAGGTTTCAGGCCACACCAGAGGGAGCCAGGTATTGGGTGCAGGACGGCGCCAGTTGGCTTGTCCTGTGGGGGAGGCACCACTGGGTGGCGCCTAGCCAGGGCCCCTGTCATCACAGGATCAGTCACAAAGTGCTTTTGGTGAGCTGGGGAAAGGCATTAAGGGCCAGGGGCAGGGCCTCCCCATGCTCAAGGCCAGCCATAGGCTGGGCCCTTGCCACACCCACCCCCTGGAGCACCAGGCTGTGGCAGGATCTCTTGTGCAGGCCCAGCCTGGGTCTGGGGGACCATGCCTTCTAAGAAGCAATCATGAGTGTACCAGGACAGGCCTGTCCCAAGGCTGGGCTTTGGAGGGACTCCTTTGGAGCAAGCCAAGCCTGGAAGGGGCCGTGCCACCTGGGCACACCCCCGTTACTTGCAGGTGCCTTTGGGAATCAGCCAAGGTGACGTAATGATATTTATATCAGAAAATTAAAGTGGTTCTCTGGGCTGTCCGGGTCCTTGTGTAATAAATAGTACCTTAGCCCCGCTGCTCTTCGCATTGGGAAAAGGAGCCATGGCGACCACCAAGAAGGGGCTGGGAGCAAGGGGGAAGTATTTCATGGGTGACTTCCTAGTCCCCCGACTTGCACCCCCAGGAAGTACCACACCAGATAGGTTCACCCCTTTTAATTGACTAAAAATGCCTGCTAAAGAGGAGCCTCTGATTTATAGTGAAGAGGGGGGGCCAGACACCAGCCAGCCTGGCTCCTGCCCTCCCAGGAGTCCACAGCCAACGAAGAGGGGGCCACCATCCCTGAGGCGTGACGTCTGCATCTGCATCTCCACGAGGGGAGCGCCTAGTATCTCGGGCTCTGCCACCCCCTGCCCGCCCCGCCCCTGTGCGGCAGGGCAGGCGCCTCCACACAACCCCACTCGCCTCCCTCCCCGCTGCCTCCCTCTGGGCCTTTTTAAGAAAAGTCTTTTAAGTGTGTGGACAGCACACAAGTGTATTTAGTGGCTTGGCTCTCTGAGCCCTGGCATGGAGCCTGGGCCTTGCCACTACCAGCCCCTACCCTAGCTCTGGTCCCTGGCGGTCCCTGCCAGCCTGGCTCATCTCAGGGCAAAGCTGTAGACATGGTAGATCTCGTCCGGAAGGTTCTCCTGCCTCTCCTCGGCCAGGAGCCGGAGGCCGGCGCTGCGGATGATCCTGCGGACCACCTGGAGGTCCCGGCACACGCTGCTGTCCACGTCGTCCAGGATGACGCCTTCCTGCGCCATGTTGTCCTTGATGACGATGATGCCATTGGGGCGCAGGCCACGCTGGCAGCGCCGCAGGAACGCAGCCAGGTGCTCATCTGTCAAGTGGCCTGGGGTGCAGAGGCGTAGTTACAGGGTGACACTGAAGGCACCCCTCTTCCCTCATTTTGTTTCCCTCCCAGCCTCCTGGGCGCCACTGTCCCTGGGTCACGTGGAAGGTGGCCATGGCTCAGAAGTTGCCCACACAGAACATGAGCCTGAGCGTGGGGAGCCAACTCCCAGGTGTGGCCTGGCCAGACCTCCACACTCCCCCTCCACCCCGTCCATGGGCTCCCTGCGGCCACAGCTGGGCCAGCTGTGTGTGGCGCAGAACAGCGAAGCACAGGACAGCAGTTCCTCACCCTGCTTTCACAACCTGCAGTAGTCGGCACCTGCCAAGCAACAGCTGGGCCCTGAGTTCAAACCACAGTGCCACCCCAGACCCTTGGTAGGCCTTGTGAAGCCCAACTATAACCCCAGCACACCAGGAGGCTGAGGGGGGCCCAGGCCAGGGGTCACCTGGGCTGCGCTGAGATCGAGGCTTAGAAAACTCCCTTCTTTTGAATCAGTGTCACTGACTATTTAAAGTTTTAGAACAAAAAACCACCTCTGAGTGGCCAGCAGGTGTTCTGGTGAACTAAGCCCTGACTTTGGCACCAGGGCCAGCAGCGGCCAGGGGTGGGGTGCGGGGGAGGGCCACGGGAGCCTCACCTATCACCCACTGGATCCAGATGACGTCGTAGGAGCCGGGCTCCGGGCTGAAGTCCTGCAGCCCACAGCAGAAGTAGTTCCTCACCCGCTTGCCCTCCTCCCCCAGGTAGGTCTTGGCTTTGGCCAGAAAGTCCTCGGTCACGTCCACCATGTCCACCACTCGGAAGAGCGGCAGGAGCAGCCGCTTGGTGATCCTTCCGATGCCCGCACCGCAGTCCAGGGCACAAGAGGTCCCCGTCTTATTCGGGCCTTCCTAAACGGCAGAGGAGGCCATGGCACGGGGACCCCTCCCCCCGTGCCCACCCGCGTCAGGCCAGGCACCTGCCCGTGGGGGGCCACGCCTTCCTACGGTGGAGGCAACTTCCACTCAAAGTGGCATGCATCGCCCAGCTCCCAAGACCCAGGAAGACGGTAGCTCTGAGCTGAAGAACTCCACAGCATCAAGGCGGAGGGACAATGGTGGGAGGAGGGGGAGGGAGGCACCCCAGAAACCCCAGGCAGGCAGAGTGGGAGAGGCCCCAGAGACACACCGGCTCAGTCCTGCCACCTGCCCAGCCCAGCGCTCTGCCAGCTCGTGGGAGCCAGCAGTGGGGTGGACATGGCTCCCACGCTGCCCCTCGGGAGCCACCAGAGCCTCAGCCTCTCCTGGAGAGGACATCAGGCCTGCCTACCCTCAAAAACCTCTGCAGGAACTTCCGGGAGCTGCTGAGGTCGATGTTGGAGATGTGGCCATACCCCCCAAGCATGCCGTCCACCGTGGGCGGGATCTGCTTCCAGTAGGTCTTGGCCTTCGAGTAGAACTGGGTCTCATCCTCGATCAGCTCGCTCGTCATGCTGGCACCGGCCGCGTCGCTGTCACAGCACTGGCAAGGGCGACTCCTAAGCCAAAGAGCGCCTGGGTCAGGACCCAGCAAGGTCACGGGGACAGGGCTGCGGTGGCCAGGCTCTGGGAGCCAGGAAACCACTATCACACGCAGACTTGCTTCTGCATCTTAGGTGGTGGCACTTGTGCCCTACATTCCCGTCCAATCACAGCAAGAGATCCTGGCATCTAGAAGTCGACATAGCTATGCAACGCCTAGCTGTAACCTGAGGCCCCAGGATCGAGACCCCTGATCCACATTTGAAGGAAAAGGAAGCTACCCTAGGCAGGGACCCCAAGCAAGGGCCCCAGCCTTCTGTCTGGGCATGGGGGTGGACCTGGGAGGACTGAGCAGACCTTAGGCCCTCCTCTACCTCAGAGCACAGAAGCAGCTCAGGGCAGGGCTGGCCCTACCCACGTGCAGGGATGCAGCCAGGTGGAGCTGCTATCCAGAACCCCAACAGCAGGGAGCACCCCAAGGAGAAGGGGCAGGCAAGGGCACTGGCAGGGCATGCACGCTGCTGGCGGCCTGGCTGTCGAGCCCAAGGTGCTCAGGGCCTGAAGCGAGAGACAGGAAAATGGAAGCAGCTCAAACACAGAGGAAAAATGAGGACTCTGCACACTCAGGACGGAGGAGTTCTTTTGGGGTCCTGAGGGGCGAAGGCAGGGCCTTTGCACGTGGAAAGCAGCGCTCCACTGCGGAGCTGCACGCCAGCCCTGGAGGAAGCCTTTCTCAATGGTAGACGCGCAGCAGCTCAGAGAAGGGAGCCCAAGAGGAGTGCTCTCTAAAGGGTGCACACCAGAGGCGGCGTGGCGGCGGCCAGGGAAGAAGTGGGGGGGGGGGGGGCGCCTTAGCAGCTCTAACTGCCCAGCACCGCACCCGCCTCTGACCACAGCATCAGCATGGTGACTCTGAGCAGACAGATGGACACGCGTGGAGGCCAGGTGCCCTCCCTCGCGGGCAGCTCACCCACCAGGTGGGCTTGGCTTGTGTCGCCTCAGAACTTCTCCAGCTGCCTATCTGAAGTGGCCGCTCCCTCCCTGTGGCTGTCTTCAGCATGTCCTGACTCAGTTTCCCTCCTGTCTTGCAGCCTCCTTACAAGTCAGCCCCACAGAGCAGGTGCTGCGGTTCTTCAAAGCTCACTTCGGGGACACCCAGCTCCGAGCCCTGTGGCCAGCGTGGCGTCTGCGGGCCCCTGGTGGGTGGAGAGCCCCTGGAACTGCCATCCAGAAACAATTGTGGGGAATACGAGGGGAGGAGTCCTCAAAAAAAAACCAGAACCAAGTGACGGGCTTCAGAAGACAGACCAGGGCTGTGGGCGCACATGGGCCTTCAGACCATGAGAGGCAAAGGCAGGGAAAGCCCCAACTATTCTGAAAGCCAAACTGCATCCTTCTCCAGGGCTTGGCCCGCCCACAGGGGCTGCCTCCGTCCTCATCCCAGCCACTCCCCAGCACCCGAAAAGGAACTGAATACACCCCAGCTCTCTCCCAGCCTGTGATCTAGACAGGGGTCTGCTTGAACCCCGCTTTGGAATCTTGCTTCTGGCAGTACTGGGGGGTTCTTCACAGGGGTGGTAGTCCTAGGGCTTGAACTCTCAAAGCCTAGGTACTATCCAGTGCCCAGCTTTTGACTCAAGGCTGGCCTGCTACCGCCTGAGCCACAGCTCCACTACTGGCTCTTTTTTCTTTGTTGGTTAATTGGGCTTAAAGAGTCTCACAGGCTTTCCTGCCAGGCTGCCTTCGAACGGTGATCCTCAGATCTCAGCCTCCCGAGTAGCTAGGATGGCACGTGTGAGCCACCGGCGCCCAGCTCACCACTTTGAATTCTGGTATCAGTCCAGACACTGCCTCGGCACTCTTTGGGTACAGGGGTTTGGAGCCAGTGAACTTCCATCCTGTGGGGAAGCAGGAAGGCGACCTGGGTTCCACACATGGCGTCCCCCATTCCCCGCCTCACCCCGGCACAGGGCCTCAGCGTGGGGAAGAGCGAGCCACGCTGCTGCACAAACTCGTGGCCAGCTGTGAGCAGGTGCAGGCGCAAAAGCACGGAGGGGTGCCTGTCCTCGAGGCTGCGCTGCAGGCCACACAGCCCTGGAGAACTTTCCACGACTGCACCAAGAGGGGCCACCGGCCTGAGCTGTGTCCTGTGGGGGCCTGGCGGGGTGGGCGCCGGGGCAGCATGCCCCGGCCGCAGACCTCCTTCAAACCACCCTCACCCCGCCAGCAGGTGCCCCTGCAGGCAGAGACAGCATGATCACCCCAAACCCTCCTAAGGCCTGTCCACCAGGCAGGGCCCACAGGCCTACATCCCCACTGGACTGAGGCCCTTTGGAGAGATAGCAACATCCCGAGACTCATCTGCTAACCCACACAACATACTCGGCAAGGTTTACTCCTGAGCAAACGGGCCAAACGCTTATGGGGTATTCTCCCTGCTCACCTGTCTGCCCCCCCCCCCCCCCCCCCCGCCCAGGCTTCCTCCTACATCAGTAGCTGAGGAATGCCTGGATGAACTTATGCCTGTAGACATTTGCCACCTTTAAGAAAATGCTAGGCCAAGCCGGGCGCTGGTGGCTCACGCCTGTAATCCTAGCTACTCAGGAGGCTGAGATCTGAGGATCGCGGTTCAAAGTCAGCC